GCTTCCTTTCACACAAGAGGCTGTGCAGGTTTAGAAAAAAAACTAAGCAGCTGAACAAGAAAATGCTGGGATTCTTCCAAACAGGGAAAGCTTGCGAATGAGCAATGTATTAATGCACATTAAATGTGCCTGTACACATCTGTACCTACACTTAAAGAGGTGGTACTGGGATATAATTGGTTCTTGGCTGCAGCAGCCGGCAACAGCTCCTGGCTGCTGCAGTAATCCCTTAGGAACAGCACAGCTCATTAAAGCACAGGAGCTGGTGACCAGAGGCTTCTCCTTTTTGTGCAGCTGTGTCTGCTCTCATCAGGGGTAGGTGGGTCTGAAAGAAAGTGATGAAATGCACTAATCAGGGAGGGAAGGGTTCAACTTCAAAGCTTGGTGCTTTAGCAAATCCCAAATATTCTGGTGTGAGGAGCTGGGAGCGGTTTCATATTCCTGCTTACTGACTGGGAGGAGGGGATCAGCAGCACTGCAGTTACAGTAAGTCATGGATTATGTTAGTCCCAAGGCCTCTTTTCTGTGCTGGAGGGTGTTGTCTCCTGCTTAAGACTGGTGTTTTGAAAGGCAGATCTTATGATACAAATTGAGACAGTGCCAACTGTGAACTCTGTGCAGGTCTGACACAGGAGCTGGAGCTGATGTGAGTGCTGGCAGAAGAAGAGAGGATGAAGACAGCACTCCTGGGTATCCCACTCCCATCACACATGAAGGCATAGAGGTAACAGATGTGATATAATCTGAAATTTACTCTTACAATTAAATGCAGATTATGGACAGGAGAACAGTCAAAGGTTCCTTGACCTTATTTCTAATATTCCTGCACAATAAGAAAGTTGGCACGTCCTCACAAATGATAAAGATAGAAGCTTTAGCACACGGTGATCTACTGGAATGACTTAAATGATCAGACTGGCAATTATTTGCTATTACCTATTCAGGAAGGGTAGAAATGAAGATACAGCAGCAATTTTACATACCACAGACTGAAGAGGCGACTGAGCACAGCCACTGGCTGTGCTGGTAAAGCCCCAGAAACGCTACTTACGGCATCACCAGCGAATGAATGAGCTGCTTTCTAAGTGGCCTTGTAATGAAAAGCTGAAGTGCTGAAGATGTGCTGAGCACTCTGAATTTTTTACATTTATTTCTAAAGGGCTTTCTGATACGAGCTCCTGGCTCTGCTGCTTTGGACGGCTGTAATATCTAGAGCAGCTTGTTCAACCTTTTGGCTCGCCTGGGCCACACTTGTTCTCAAGGCTGAGTTCAGCCGTTGTACCAAAATGCTTGAAATTATTTGCCATAACTGCAGCTTGCCATGATTAAGTTTCATTTTGAATGCTGTCACGAGTCGAAATATAGAGCAGAAAAGTTAAATTTCACTCTGAGGAGATACGTTTAACTCAATTAAAAGAGTAGTGAAATCCACCACAAATGCTAAATCCATGAGCCATTTTTCATTCACGAGTTCTGGCACAAATTTTCCTTTTGATCCCATAAATGACCTGATTTCACTTCACAACTGGTAAAAATTTCTGTAGCATTTCACTCTTAGTCATCTTTCTTCAGAAAAGTAAATGATGTCCCCATAATCAGCATCCATTCGCTTAAGGAACATCTGGAATTGGTGATGACTGAATCCCTCAGACTTGATGAAATTCACAGCTTTGATGGAGGTTCACACGACATTATCCATTTTTAAAGCTTTCATACAGGCATGTTCTTGATGTATGATGCTGTGAGATTTCATCAAACATGAGTTGCTGGCAGCAATTGCATCTTCTATTAATTTTGTAAGTCCCTCTTTTTAACCAGCCATTGCTGGGGCCCCATCAATTGCTGTAACAGATCTGCTGACAAAGGCTGAAGAAAATTGCTTTAATGTAATTTTTACTGCTTCATAAAAATCAAGAGATTTAGTTGTGTTTTTTTCAATGGCATCAAAAAAGCCATTTCTCCAGTGATATTTGCTGTCAATACCTCTAATAAAAATGGCCAGCTGAGCCATCGCTGTAGCATCAGTAATTTCATCCAACACCAAAGCATGAACTTTGAAATCAGCAGCTTTACCCTCAAGACTTCTTTCATTACATTTTCCCATTTCTTCGGTTTGCCTGAAATTGTTTGGTGAGACAAGCTGAAAACTGTTTTGTTTGTCCACAACAAGAACTCATCTGCCATGTTCCAGCGAACACTCTTCGACCCTCTTCCTTCATCCACAGATTTTCTCTTTTTGGGGTCCTGTTTCTTTTGAGACGACACTGGGTTGAAATACTGTCTGCAATCTCTACTCACACCAAGTGGCACAGGAACATGCCACGTGTAAGCAGGGTCTCAGTAGAGAAGAATTAATAGAAAAGAGGCAATTAAAATCCATCAAAAATAGATCAACTCTCAGCTAATCTAATCATGAAGATACATCACCTAGCACTGCACTCTACAATATATGTAACATTCGTAGGGAAATATCTACAACATAAAATAAACGTTGCACACATGAATTAAGGTCTGTCTGTCTGGCAGACCTCAAGCAGTTTGCCACTGTCCTGGCAGTGGGGATGCTTCCTGTGAGATCCTGCTCAAACCTCAGCTAGTTCTCATACTACTCAACACTTCCATCTGTCAGTGAGAAACAAACCTGAAGTCACTCCTGAAAACCCTGGTAAGCAGCAGCATGGTGGGAAGTCACACCAAACAACGCATTTTTTGTCAAGCTAGACCAAAGGAAACATGACTGAACTCTGCATTTAGCTGCAATAACGCAAGCAAGAACAACTCGCCCACAGCTGCAGGAAAGTGGGGGTCTGAGGAACCAGGTATTCCTTCCAGAAAAGGCTTAGGGGGTCTAAAACTTGGCACAGCTGTTGCCCAAAGGGCTAACAGTGTTTGAGCATGTAAGCAAGAAAGAAGTAAGCAAGGATGTAATGCTTTCTATATAAAGTAGAAAAGAGACAAAACTCAGCATCAGTTCTGATGTCCCTTCTTAAATGACAAGGATAAAGGAAAGAGACAACTGATAAAGGAAAAACAAAGTCTGAAACACAAACATTACAGAAATCCTGGAGAAAATTATTTGTAGGGAAAGTCTTAAAGAAACCCTGTCTGTTCAGCTTACAGAGAAAACCAGCTGGCCCCTTCATTACTATGCAAACATGTTCAAGGAGAAAGTGCCAGGTACTAACAGCTTTGTATTTTTGCAGAGAAATGAGATGAAACAAAGGCTGGGAGCTGAGGAGAGACTATGCCAAGTGGAAAAGAGGCATGTCTGTTGAAAACACAAGGGTGAGTAACTATTGGAACGAAACTCTAAGAGATGTTGTTGGCTTAGAGCATTTATATTTAAAAGATTGCTGCATAGAGCATTTTTTCCTATTAGAGGTTGTAAACCCAATGCATGTGACTCAAAACACCCTGGCAATAAGGGATCTGTGGCTATTTACAACAGGAGGAAGTACCAATTATCTTTCTCTTGGCAGCTGTGATGACTTGGTTAGACATTAAAAAAAATCCCTTTTAAAATAAAAAGCCAAAAAAAAGAAAAGGCAGCTGCTTCAGGATGTGGACAATGCAAAAGAGCTTCCATCAGGCAATTAATTGGTGTTTTACCTGGAAAAAACTTGCAGTAATGTCAAATAACAGTCCAGAGGTTTCTATTCTAGCCAGACAGCGGCACTTTGAGTAGGAATGACCTACAGATGAGTCCTCTCTAATGGTGTGCACAACTTACAGTGACATTAAACTGTCTCTTTCACACAATGCAATTAAATTACAAACAAGGATGAAAAGCAAATCAGCTGCAATTCTTCAGCTCCATTTATTCTACCCTTCATTTTAAAACTACAGGTACACAGCAGGCATCCAGCAGGGAAGTTGCACAGCAGGTAGAAATATCACAAGTTTTGTTGTGCTTTTATTTTCCAGAGCAAGCTACCCAGCCTCTGCCCAAGAAGGTCTTTAAAGATAAGAATGGAACAGAATGGCAGGAAGAGCATTTGTCGCCATCGCTGCCTGCAACTCCACGCGACAGCCATAAACCAGTAAACACAGAAGGCTGAGTAAAGGTAACAATTAATTGGCAATAATCAAGATACAAAGAAAAAATTAAGTACAGCATCCACAGTAGCTTCAAAGTGGTTTGATTTATGCGTGGTGTAGGGGTATGCATTGCAGTTGAGAGAAGGCTGGGATTCTGATCTAAGCTGCCTCACATTCAGTGATAGAGGGCTGTTGCTAAACAAGACAAACCCCTGGATGCACTCCTTTGCTCAGGCCAGATGGTGAAATCCAAGTCAGTGGACTGCCTTGCTCCAGCTGAAGCCGTACTGCTGTGCTTCCAGGGCCAGACACTTCTTCAGTGTCAGGCAGCATGGAGCCTGCAACAGCAACAGCGGACATCTCTACCTGTCACGTGCTGACCTAGAAGCTTTAGCAAGGCATGATTCAGGCATTCCTGAATGGCTTCTCTGTTTGGGCTCAAACCAAGCTTATGAGTTCCAGCTCAACAGAGCCTCTGCTCCTTAGTAGTCCAGGCTTCAGGTGAAATTAGTGAGATTTATACCAGTCTCAGTACTCTGCTTCATCTAATAAGCCTTCTGTGAGTCTAAAGAGCTCTCTTATGAAAGCAGAGTGCTGCACTTCCGAAAGCAGAGTTGCTAGCTCTGAGCCAGTTCATTAGCCTATGCAGCCTCTTGGGTGTGAGCAGACTTCTGTCCCAGTACACTCCCTTATATGCTCACTGCACTGCCCAGGTAAGTTCAGCCCTCTGCCACTGGGAATGGAGGGGGTGAGTGAATGACTGCATGGCGCTGAGCTCCCAGCTGGGTTAACCCACAGCATCAGGAGCAGCATCTTTCTTTAAAGCCTCCCATCCATACACCTACCAGTCTACCCAATTTTAGTACAGGAAATAAAATCTTGCACTTAGGAATTGTAGTCCAGTAAAACAAGACACGGTTACTGTTTCAGCACATGGAAATCCTAGAGGCTGAACGCTTTTGCTTAGTTAAGAGACATTTTAATTACACAGAAGATGTTAAAGGCAGCACAGTCCTTACTGTGAATTTGGTTTCTCTCTTGGCAATGACATTTTAATTCTCATAAATGTAACACAACCTCACTGCAGACATGAAATAATTTATAGACAGTTAACCACAAAGTCAAAACTAAAAATGCACCAGGACAGAGTGAAACAACAATCAAAAAACAAACAACAAACCCCAACCGCTACACCTTTAAGTCTGCACTGGTAAAATGGAAGAAAAAGAAAGCACCAAGAAAGCTTAGCTTGAGAGTATTCCCTTCAGGCACATCACTGTAAAGCTTGAGCTCCAAACATGCAGCAAGTACAGTTTCAGTCTTTAAGTACACACAAAAAGATTTCTTGAAATAAATTTAAGATGACAACTAATAGCCAACAGAGAGCTACCAGTCATTATTTAATTAAATCATGTTTTGAAATCTGCGTGGAGACAACTGAAGAAGTCTGCCTCCAACGTAAACATTTCCACAACAATATGCAGCAATTACAAAAGATATTCATTCTCCAAAATCTGGATGAACTACTTGAAAACGACTTTTTTTTTTTTTTATAGCTCTCTATAAATTAATGCTTCAGCATCCTCAAAGCCTGTTACATCACAAGAAACTTTCGTGATCAATTTTAATGTCAATTGTTGGCCATGATGGGGATCTGTAACATGAACAAGTCTCAGAGAAGCAGATTTCCCTAACTTTATATGACCTTTCCAAGGTGTACACGTAACATCACACAGCTTCTGTAGCATTTTCAAAAGAAAATAAATAAAAAATGAGAATAAATAAAAACTAAACAAAGGGTAGCCTGAGGATAACGGACTGATGTTGCCATAAGCAAGAAGAAAAACCACCTCAAGTGCATCAAAATTACTGTCTTGTCAGTATGTTATCTGTGGGTAGATGTCAGAATTTTGCACAACACTGCCACCATGGAAAGGATTCACACAAGGCAAAAACTTCACATTCAATCCAACAGAAATACTAAGCCTTTATTACCAAGAAAAATTATTCCACAGAGGAGGTCGGCTTGCTTCCATGCATGCTGTCAGTCACATCCACCTCCCAAATGTGGAGAAGTGCTTCTGCTAGATTCATTAATTCCCCAAGACACCATCTGGCTTTGTTCTTGGCCACAGGTGCACGGGCATTTTGATTCAACTGAACTGTTTGCTAGAATTTTCTTGCCAGCACTGAATGGGCCCAAATAATGTACCTGACTGGTGGACAAGCCAAATACTGCAAGTGGAGAATCACACACAGGACAGAGTTATCACTAAAAGAAGTCAAATGACTTTCTTTACATCCACACTGTAAATAATTTATAAGCAGGGAAATGAATGTGCTTGAGTCTATCTTCACTTGGACAGAGTGAAGAATGTTTGCTGAATCCTTGTGTTGGTACATGCAAGCACATGGTCACGAAGCCTGAAAGCCAGCAGAACTAAGCTGAATTCATGTTATCTATTGTTGTTTGGATTTTGAACAAAATTGATGGAATATGAGCCAGTTGATGAATCCTGTTTTATCTGGAAATTTTCTGTTGACAGGCCAAAGGGGCGGAGAACCAAATTCCCAAGATCTTTCAGTTTGCCTACAATGAAAAAGAAATACGTGAGTAGTAAGCAGAGGGAAAACTCCCACTGAATGATGCCCAACTACACACTCCAGCTCCACCAATTCATCTACTAATTCAAGGGAAACGCTGTGGAAATCTCTCCAGTTGGTTGAATATTTAGGCTCCTGTATGAACTAAAAAAATTCCAGTTGTGATGTAGGCAGTGTCAGCTCTGGAGCTGAAAGTAGATCAGTTCAGATTCTGATAGGTCTCTCAGGCAGCCCTGATGCAGTGGCTGCAGACACCATCTGGTTGTGGCTAACTAGCAGTTCTTTATTTCCTCACTCACAAGTGCTCCTTACACAGGACCTTAGCAGCTCACAGAAAAGAATTAGTCTCTGTTGTACTTGGATATAACTTTGATGCCTGCCAACATTCTGTTTTTTAACGTATTTTTTCAGTTCCTGCCACTTTGGTGCAGTTACAGTTCTGTAAACATTCAAGGATATTAGAACTGCCCAGTTTCCTGGACTGCCAACAGAAACAGGGAAAGCTAAAGTTCAAACTCTGCTCGCTCCTAATTATGACAGCTCTCTTTCTAGATCATGTATATTGATACAATGAACACTGAAAGAAATCCATCCATGCAAGTGTCTGCACCTTCTAACAAAGCAGTTCCATTTTGAAGCATACAACTCTGTTACCATTTTTAGCATGACAGATGACATCCTGCCATCAGGAACTCATGTTCAAAACTACAGTTCTCTGTAGCCAACTCATCCCTGCTAGGAATTCTAAGCAGCCGTTATTTAACGAGCATTATTAAAGATACAAAAGGTGCAACAGTTAAAATCCAAAGGCCACTATTAATATACACACCACACAAGCTTTCTGACTCTACTAAACAATAGTTCCTACCACCTATAAAAGGAGAAGGACAACAAAAGGACATCCTTCAAAGAAATCATATCCAAATAGAGTTTGTAGAACAAGTAAAATGCATAAAATTAAACGAGAGGCAAAATTCACACCTTCAGTGCTGGCTAAACACAAGCTAGCTGATCTGCTGGCACGACAAGGCACAAGAAAGACGGCTGCTTTTCCAAGAAAAATATCACGTTCCTCCTGGCTGTTCCTAACTTGTAAGCGTGTGCTTTCTTAAAGCCATCTTAGACACAAGATGTGTACGTGTTATTCTAGATGTCATCTTTACCTTTACTTTGAACTAAGTATTAGGATACAACAGCAAAGTCATAAGAGTAGTTACCATTTAGTTTCTATGCTTCTGCTAGGTTCTTCTGCTTAAGGTGGCAGCCAGGACAAGTTGTCCCCAGAAGTGCAATCATTACTACTGCTATTAGCTAAGTTTCCTCACTGCAATGCAGCAAACAATCTGGACTGAGTTAGAGCTTTGTTGCTAAGTCATACTGAAGCAGTAACTTCACAGCAATGATGAAATACAGAAATGTAAGGAGCGAAGTTGTATGCAAGTCCTTTGCAAAAGGACATGAACAGTATTTATGTTACACAGAGCACAAACAGATCAAGTCATTTGCCTTGCACTGTGCTGCAACCCTGTGACTGAACTCAAAACAGAAACTGTATCAAAGTCTGAACTTATTCAACAGATATGAGAGACAAGGGGCAGACTATCTGGCAACTGTTCACGCCAGCTTAAACACTGTCCCAGTAATCCAAAATAGACTATGTTTCCAATCACATTTGCAAAACAGAATTAGGGCAGGAAAGCTTTTCAAAAACACTCATAGAAAATACAAGGAGAAATGATAGTAAAAAAAATGCAAACATTTTAGTCTGAGGAGCAGCTCAATCTTGTATAAGGAAACTAACAGTTAATATTACTGCAGTTCTTCTAAATATTAGCCAGTGTAATTAAAGATCTTGCATCAAAATGCAGGTTCAAAATCTTTCAGGTATCTGTGCAATTATCTTAGAGCATGATTGGTCTCTGAGAGGCAAAATGGAAATTCTGCATGAAAAGAAAGACAACCTTTGTCTACAAAAGCAGCTAATTAGTAGGATGGGTTTTTGCTTTTTGTTTTATTAATATTATTTTTCTGTTCAGATTAACAGATGAGGTGGTTGAGTGATCTGGCCAAGGTTATTCCAGTGGGCAGCTCACTTAGGGTTAGTTTCCTTCTGCAGACTCTTTTAAGCTACACTGCTTAGTGTAAATTAACTACTAAGTCAAGTTCATAACTTTACACTTCATTCTAAAAGCACTCTGATATCAAACTACAAAGATGTTCACAGTGTCTCTACGATGGGGATGAATAGTTGCTATTGTGCTTTTAGACAAACAATCAGTCATTGCTTAGCTTCACTTTTTTGGGTGAGAAGTGCCTTTGTCTAGTGGTGGAAGAATCCTGGCATAATCTGGCATTCCTACAGCCAGTTGTAAACAGTTTACAAGTTATCCGAGCACTGCAGCTGGCTCAGGAGCAGGAAGACAAGTTTGCCTGTTTCAGAAAACACTGAAAGGCCTTTTCTAGTGGCAGTTAGTATGATGGCTGTTTTCCGGTCATACTGGAGCATAAACACAGAATAACTGCCTTGGCATTCTTGCCTGTAGCTAGGCCAGTTCTCTGGGAGAAGCTGAAGGCGAAGATGTATTTAATGCTTTATTCTTCATCTCACCCAAGCTGTGACTATACATTAAACAATACAGTTATAGGTCACCATTCTGTTCTACCACAGAAGTCCACACAGCACTGCTTCTTGGTGCAGCCATGTTAACTAAAATGTTAATCATAGAATCACTTAGGTTGGAAAAGACCTTAAAAGATCATCGAGTCCAACCACAACCTAACCATACCACCCTATCAACCCTCTGCTAAACCACGTCCCTGAGCACCACATCCAATAAATAATATTAATAGAGCAGAAGAAAGCCCTGCCTTTTCCAGGAACTCAAGCCCAATGCACTGTTCCCACTGTTTGGAGTGCACTGTTTCTTCCTCCCCCACTCTCCTTTCATCCCTAAATTAAGATCAGTAGTTAAGCCCAACCTTTCCCTTCCCCCAAAGTAAAACTCTTAAAAGAAAAACAGTGCTGGAAGGAGGCAAAAAGCATGTGGAGCTGTGACTCAGCTGCAAGGAGTTCTCAGCAGTCAAGCACTCGCCAGAGCAGGGTCACATTCTCCCAAAACAGCACGTGTGTACTTTCCACCTGGAACTCCATCATGCTAAAGTCATTGAGCAGAACAATACTGAGAGATTAACAGGAAAAATAACTGGGAAAAATCAATGTAAGTCTCAGAAATCTGCGATTCATTATTCACCTAAACAAAAAAGTAATGTTCTGTTACAAAAGACAGATGCACAAAGACTTCTCATGATTTATTTTTCATGTAACAATCACAACTGGCTGCTGTTGAGTATTTCTGGCAATTCTTCTAATATAGCTGCTAGAGATTTTGTGTTGCTTGGAAGTTGAAAAGCCAGATATTGCTTATGCTAAGAATTTTTTTGGATTAAAAAATTTCTGAAGAGGTCTTATCTTTGTGTAACTTTCTGTATATCAACAGCATTTTTGAAGCAATCAGAAGAGCTCGAACAAACCATCTTCCTACCCCTAAATGGTAAGCAAAGACTGGACAAAAAGTAACTGTATGTCAGTTCTGGTTTGAACTACTTCAAGTGACCTCAAGTTCTCTGTACTCGCAGTACTGAGCTTCAGCTGCTTAGTTTCAAATACAACATACCCTTCAGTGTCAAAGAAGAAAATCATTCTTTAGGCATTAAGCCTCATAAATATTTGCACTGATCTCAAGTAGCTGCAAAAAGCTCTTATTGATGGAAAGGCCCAGGGGATATGCTCTAATTGGTCTTTGTGTTAATCACATTAAAAAGCAAGGACATTTTACTGTTTTCAAGAATACACTCATTTTATAACTTTAGCTGAAAATCCCAAATGTTTTTGATCAGATTTGATGAATTCTTTGTATAAGATGAGTTACACAGATTGGCATATGTTCCACTCCCATGTTTATACCCAATAGGCTTAGCTTTCCTATAGCTATGTAAAGAATTGTGTTGGGATCACAGACAGCAAGCTGCTAAACCTCACTGAAACAATTCCAAACTCCCGCTCACTTCACACCCTCTCCCCCAGGGCCACGGTCCTTCATCACAATAATGAGGAGCTAAAGAAGACTAGCTTTTGTTGCACAATAGCTAGAGAGCTTTTAAAATCAGAAGAAAAATAACCCAAATAGACATAGGCAGTGAGGGAGGCAGAGGATGCCCATGTGATGAAACATAAAGGAAAAGAAAATAGGATCACAGAATGGGTTTGGGTTAGAATGGACCTTTAGAGACCATCTAGTCCAACCCTCGTGCCGTGGGCATGGGCAACCTGATCTCGAGGGGGATGTCCAAAGTCCTCTCCAACCTGACCTTGAACACTTCAGTGCCACAAGCATTTAAAAGCTACTTTGAAAGTGTGCTATAAGTAAAGCTTTCATTTATATGAAACTCAAATGGAGGTTAGGTGGCACTGAGCCAATTTTAGCCTCGTGTGACAACATTAACCTGCCAATACTGAATGGAAAATACAGACATAATTTAAAGGCAAATGCCAGCTTTAGATGTGTTAAAACCTTTCAGAATACATAGCAGAAATGGGGCTGATTTGGCAATAAACCATCATTTTTCTAATGACATTAACTTCATTAATCACATGCAACTACCATTTGTATGCAAGAATTCATAGCAAGGTAGTTTGGAAAAGAAGATCCAGCCAAGAACGTGTACTCTGATTTATTTACATACCATCACTTAAGAAGTGGTTTCAGTTTCTGTTAAACTATGTGGTAATGAGCTGCTGCACTGGAAAACAGGAAACAACACATTGGGGGAAGGAGGAAGATGCACTCCTTTTAAAGTGCATTTGTACTCAGTTCTGGTTTTCATGGCAGCATTACTCAGCTGTGCTGGGTACACCAGTCCTAAGTGTGTTTCAACTAAACCAAAAAGCCTAGAAAAAAAAACATGTTTCTGGGCTGATATGCTGTCTAAAATAAGAATTCAAGGTAGTATCCAAACTTCAAAAGGAACCAAGGCACACGTGTGATGTTATTCTAAAAGACATTGTTAGTTATTACATAAGTTCAGTGTAAGTGCACCTGCACAAGGCCTGACCTGAAACTATTTGGATGTGTCTGACTTGCTCACCTGGGACCAAGAATTCTGGGGCACAACCCAGACAGCACAGCTGGGTCTCCTGTGAGAGAGATGGGAAACAAATCTTCCTATGCCTGGCACTGGTTGCAGATTGCTGTTAAGCTACTGTTAATTCTGATGCAGTACTCAGTGGATAGATAGCACTAAAAAAGTTCTTGAAAAACATGAGTTGAAGCAGCTTAAAACACATTGTACAATAAAAAGAATCCAAAGAAATGTTTTAAACACCACGCTTACTCAAGATTGTCTTACATTCCTGATGGAACTCCCAATTCCTCCCTGCTCCACCCTTCAGCTGGAAGGGTTTCTCTTCCCAGGCCTGCACCATTAGACGCATGACATTGCTGCTGCTTCTGTTATGGACAAGTATTGGGCATAACACTTAAATAAAATGAGTAATTATTGCCCATACTTGAAACTTAACTTCAAATGTTCTATGAAGACACCGAATGATAGAAAAATTCCCTACTTTCTGTTACACTGGTGATAACAAGTAATGCCATGAATAAATGCCCAAATGACCCAGGCAATTTTAACAACATATAAGACAATTTATGCGAATCCTGTTGCACTGAGGTTATGGATGAAAACAGGGTTACATGCTGACTCTTAGTCTGGCTGTTTACAAAAGTAAATGTCAGTGCATCCCCTTGCACAGATATAATACCACTGAGAAGGGATTCCCTTCTTCAGCATCCCAATACACATCACCTGATCTAGCTCTCAGAAGACTAGAACAGTTCTTAAATCTTACTTGCCACTGGATTAATACTTCTAAATAAAATTACATCTAGTCTGAAATCTAGATGAAAGTTAACAATATAGAATTAAGCTGGCTAATGACAGTTTATAAAGCTGGATTTATTGTTTCAGTACTTTTTGTGGTTAGTGAGACTTTTTAGACATTGTTAGCAATAGCAAAAAGGGAGAATTCAGAAGAGCTCAGGAACTGTTTTCATTTTAGTTTGTGTTGAAAACTATCGCATCCTCCAAAGAGGCATGATCCTTCTGGAGATTTTCTGCAGTTGTCAGTTATTTATAGCTTGTTCTAAGCACAGTGCTGGAAACAATCTGATGATGTAGAGCAGCTCTAGAAAGCCTTACTGCAACTTTATTTAAATTCAGTAGATCAAGACACATACAAAACAAAAGCACATCAGGCCTCCTGCACAGTGAGAGGCAAAACTTGAAGAACAATGTCAACTACAGTAGAATCTCTCCAAAGAGTCTCTTCTACCCAAATATTTTAGGAATCAGTGTTATTGTATGCAAGATAGACTGAGTTTGTTTAACCTGATTCTCCACAGAATAACACAGCACCATCCTATACTCTCAAAACCTATCCATCTTAGCAAAAGCATTTCATCTACTACTTGTCACACTCAGAATGAGTAAATAGCTAACTGCTGACAGCTAGTCACGTACAGTCAACTTTCTCTTTTTATCTTATACTGACATTTGTCCTTGCTCTTTTGTGTGCAATTTCTAGATGACACAAATGAGAAGATTATGTGAAAACAAACAAAAACCCACCAACAACTTGTTTTAAAACCAGAATATTGGGATATCTGTTATCTGAACCTATAAGAACTACCAAATCCTCTGATTAGGAGGCAGCAAACAACACTGGCTACAGCCTTTGTGGATCACCCCACAACGATTAGTTTATCCATAACACTGTGAGTTGTGCAAGGAAGCGTTCTGCACAAATTATTATGACACAGGAAAACCTAACTTCCTTGGGCAGTCTTATTTAAGTAATTACCCTTTTGAGAGATGTCAATCCTGTTGTCATTATCCAAGCAACGCCATGCAATACAATCATGAGGGCACATACATTCAAATAGTTATACCAATTACATTCTCTTTAAAAAATAATAATGGTCAACAGTATCTTGGTATATATTGACATTTATGAATTATAAGGAAAGTTAAGAAATCAAATTCCTTTCCTAGCAAGGCCAGAAGCCTGCTTGTAACACTAGGTACCTTTAATCCAGCCTCAACACACACAGCAATGAAATACCATATAAACCAGGATAAACATGAAGACTTGGAGGTCTATAGGTGGAAAATGCTACAAAAGGAACCAAATTTATTTTTTCAGTCGCAAGATCAAACATGCTCAGTTATTACAGCTGGTTGAATCCTTTTATGTATGGTTTAGTGAAAATTGTTTTAACCCATTCATGGGAACGTCTCCTTTGAAAGTTTGCTTGCACAGAGTAAGGACAGAGCCTGTTTCAAACCATTTCCCTCTGCTTCTACATTTATTGTTATAGAATACATTGAGTATTACTGCCTATAAATTTAACTAATAACCTCTGTAGGGGAACATTATTTGGCTAAAAGTTCTGTAGGCAAAACTAAGCAATGGAGAACTAGGAATAAATCATGAGCTTTGTTTAACACAACTATATCCTTTATTTTTCTAGCAGACCACAATGATTATTAAGCAAGTTACATAAGCATACTACTTACCTAACATTTCTTTCTTTAACTTTTCATTCCGCTCTTCAATTTGTCTAGGTAATCGCTGCAGAAAAGGAGACAGAATTGGAATCAGATCCATGCTTTCAGTAATACTGTAGGTTAAGCGTATGCGACTTTCATGTACGTACCCAAGATACATTGTTTATGGCTTTAAAAAAATCCTCATGTCAAACCAACACTTTTATCCCACTGTGGAAACTTGTAATTCATCCTATGACATCAATTCATAGAAACAGAGCAAGTTGTAACTTGTAAGTGCAGGTTTCACACAGGCACACATTTTTATGGCTGAACAAGGAATCTGATCTGCTTGCCTAGTATTTCAACTGAAGAGTTCAGGGAATTTAAGAGACCTAGAATTAAAGTACATTTTTGTCCTATCTCCTCTACCACAGACATTAAATATGGCTAGGAGAGACTAGAGAAATTAAGGAAGCACTGTATTTACTTCTGAACATGAGTACAGGTCTAGTGGGGAAAAGCATCTGTAAAGTCAGTTTGAATTGGCAGACAGCTTCAAGGAAATGCATGCTGAAAATGTGAAGATCTTCTAGACAAAAATATGTTACCAGAAGATCACTGAATTGCTGTATATGAACTTCAAGATACAGTTTAATGAGCAACACCTCATTATTCAATGTTGTCATATTTCTAATGAGGACCCCAATTCGATGATTCATCATGGAGAGAACTTCCAATAAGTTCATCCTGAGCAAGGCGTCAGTCCAAGGAACAGTCTGGTTTTTTTCCTCCTCAGAAATGGCACTAGTGTTAAAATCTGTGCACCATCACAGGTGAAAAACTTATCACATTCTAATAAGCATTGCATAACAGCATAGTCTACGTATTCTCAGTGATCCGAGATTCCCATTTACACTTAGAACAGCTGTGGCTCGTTTTCCATCTCAAACAGCAGTGCTGTTTTGCTAACTGACTGTAAAGACCATTTTAAACTATAGTTTCATGTTCACTACACTTACTATTGCATCAGTTGAAAACAGCTTAGATCACTTTGAAAGTAATGCCTCCCATTTATTTCCATAGAAACTACAACAGATCCAAAGAGCATAGTAACACTATTTGAGAGAGCAAATTCTCAGCTACAAAACATTATTTTTCCATACAGTCACCATCAGTAACGAAGAAGAACCTGCATGCTGTGCTCATAAAAAGTCTGTGCCAGAAGAGGTGAGCCACTGTTGAAATGCACCACCCATCACCTCACTGTGCTCACATTCACTGTTTGGCCTCTATCAACATTCACCAAGTTGTCAATGAATGTCACTCAGTGTACCATTTTCTCCCCGTGGAGAAATCCATTTCACACTGTGCTTCATACACACTTCCAAGTCAGATGCCATTGTGTCAGAATGCCCCTCTGCTGCCATCTGGCACATGGCAACAAAATGGAATGGAATATCGGTGACAAGGTTCAACCTTTGCTTCCATACCACCAACATCCACCTCTGACACCACAGGACAACATAATAAAATAAGAAACATCACTTTTGAGCAGCCTTTGTATATTAAAAATATATATAAAAAGCAACTGCCATTCACACTGCATCTTCTTCATATTTTCAGAAGTTACTATTTCAAAGTTACTACGCTTATTACTATACAACTCTGGCAGCTCAGGATCCAATTATATAGTCATGGCAAATAAGACAGATCTGCTGAAATGGTGCTATCAGTAAGTTAATTACAGTTGTAAACTATGGTAACAAGTGTGGAATTCACTCCTTATGTACTTCCCTTGTGATAATTGGCTTCTGAACATAGTTAAAGAATTCAATTTCCTAATTTAGTTCCTTCCTGTATTTTATAGCTCCAATCATCACGGATGGGTTTGTCACTCTGATAACATTGTTACAGTGAAATAAGATATTCATGTCAAGGAAAAAAAAAATATCTGCCTGGCTATTCCTCCTGTTCAAAACAGTATTGATTGGTGAACACGGGCACTTTCAACACTGATGGGGAAGTGAGGTGTTATACCCCATACAAACTGAAAAGTCAATATGAAAGAGTACAATGCACATACACAGAGGTGGCTAAGTCTGAAATGAGCTTAGGCCCAATACCACCACCAGTGAACCAGATCCAATTAGTGCAGTCAGACACCATCCAACTCCTGCTGACCCAGAGGGCCTTATTAACTTGGGTCTGGACCCAAGCTGCCTACATGAAAATGCGGGGATATCCCCAGGCTGTAAATTCAGTTTGCATTGTGGCTGTGACATTCTCTCTTCCTTTTTTCTATCTTACTAAGTAGTTTTATCTCAACCCACGAGTTCTACTTTATTTTTTTTCCTGTTCTCTCCCCCATCCCACTGGGAATTGGGGGAGTGGGTGAATGACTTTGTGGTGCTCAAGTACCTGCCATGTTAAACCACAACACATCTGCTCTATCTTGGATGAGTTTGGCTTACACAGAATCTGTCTCTCATGTGGACATCAGCCTTCAGCATGAAATGAAGACCTAAATACTTGATCAGAAATATGTGTTCTGTGTTTTGTCTGTCTGAACAGTACTATTCCAAAGACTCAGCATTTCTCACTCCAGAAAAGTACATCTAAGGTTACTTATCTATAGAACGGTATCCATAAACCTGGCTATTCATCTTGGTCTGTGACACTTATCTCAAAGTACAGCTTCTTTTGGTAAGTAAGTTTACCTGGTCTGCCACTCCCTCAGAAACTGTGCTGAAGCTCAAATTCACACAACATTGTTATACACCTTCTAAAAACAAAACCTAACGATTGATACCACATAAATAAACACTCTCTGGAAAAGCATCGATAGGGATTATTTGACCACATAACACTGTAATTTCAAACTGTTTCATTTGGCATAAATGATGTCAAAGGCAACCAAAGTGTGCAACAGTGGGCTTTAAACCATGAGTGCTGTACTTCTGACATATAAGCCGTACTGAAATTTTACAGCAGCTAACAAATCAGGAACCTAAGCAAAGAATTACTGTGCATTTAACTTCATTTAAACGCCCATTTAACAAGATTATTATATTCCCTACAGCAGTATGTGAAGTATTTCTTATACGTAGGAAGGAGAAAGATTGGCTCTAACAGGTGAACAAAGCCAATTTGCAGATTCTCTTGATGCATCATTTTCACTACCAGTGGAGGCACAGAAGTGCTGAACTAGTTCTGCAAAGAGCAGGGCACTTTACATCACAATAAAGCAGAACCTCTTAGTCCCTACATATTACAGATCTGCTAATTACATACGTGGAGACAGCATTATATCTGGAACAACGTTTTTTATTATAAAATTTAGAGATCAATTACAATTATTTTAAAAAGCATAAAATTAGCCATGTCAGTATTTCATTAACAAATTTTCATGGGGGGGGGAGTAGGGAGGGGAGGGCTTTAAAGCCTCAATCTCAAAATACTGCTTTTATTCTGAAGCTTGACCAACTGAAAAGCAAAATGCTGTCAACCACTCCAGTACAAACTGAGGGCATTTCATACAACGTATCCTGCACCACATGTGACCTGAAGTCTGCCTACTAAAATGAGGTCGAGGAGCAGAATGTACACGAAACAGTCAAACTCTGTGCTTTCCAGCTACAAAAATTATAAGTAAATGACCAGTCATTCTAAAACACTTCTGAAAGATGACCAGGAAGAACAGCAGCACTGTTTCTGATTCTTTCCTGGAACAAATCTCCACCAGATACTGAAAGAAAATTGTGGTTTTGAAAGAGAAAGAAGGATTGCATCTAAACTTTCAGGGGGTTCAGATCAGCTAAGATGTATGTTTCAAACTCCTTGTATTTTGTACCAATGACTGACTGCTCTCACATCGTCATCTATGGAATCCTTACTGGTGCTTCGTAACAATCTGTCAGATCTGCACAGCTGCTCTTTGTATGAAGAGCTGCTAAAACACGCTCGCACTGTTTTACCAAGTAACCAACTAGATTACATTAGGCCTCTTTCTTGGATCGAGGCTAATGCTAAAAGACTACAAGCTACAAAACTAAATCCCATCGTTTCCTTTAGAAACGTCAGCAGATTCCTTGGCTGAACTCCTGGATCAAATAAGCCATAGTCTCAGCTAGGAGACTATAAACATGGCCAACACAAATACTCTTTTCTTGACTATGATGGATGCATCACGTTCACTGCCCCTGCAGTAACGATGTTTGACAAGCCTGTCATTTATTAAGCCATTGCCAAGAGCTAGGTGATAAAACGCTCTCCTGCTCTCAGCTGCACGCAACAAGCATCAGGGGGTTGTTTCACAGTACAGCAAACTGACCTTGTCACAGGGTGCTGCCAGAAATGACCGGCCCAGTTCCTGCACTGCCTTGACCACATCTTTTCTTCTCACCAGTAACTGCAGTAGGACTCCTCTGAGTGCAGAAAGCCAAGGCAATATAAAGCTGCTCTTCAGGGCTTTTTTGGTTGCTGGCTTTTTTTTTTTTTTTTTTTTTTTGCTCACTTATAGATGCTTTTCCTTCTGGCCAGGTTAGTTGCCTGCCAGAGCCACATGTATATATATACATATATATACACATGTATACACATGTATATACATACATATATACACATACATATACACATATATATATCACGAGCCATCTCCACAGGGTCAGTCATGGACTTGTACCAGCATAAGCATGAGGAAAGCAACTGGACAGCTTTCTAAGCAGCAGGCAGTTCAACACTTCAGCTGCTTTGTGAAATCTTACCCTTACCACTAATGGGAGTTACACAGTTAAGCAGAGTACTTTTCTGCCATCAGTGCAATTGATCTAGTCCCAAAGGAAGTAATTTCAGGCAAGGCTTCTTGTCTAATATGCTATTAAAGCACTTCCTAATGTGTCATTACAACACCATGGTACGGGGGAGGGGAATTAAAAAAAAAAAAATCACTACTAATACCTTATTTTCACAAATAGGGAATTAAAATAATTAAACCTAAACCTTGAAAACATATTTCTGCACCAACGTATAGATAGTGGCTTTTACACAAAATTTCTGGAGTAAACTTTTTTCCTTTATGGGGCAGAGTAGGTTGCAGTTTCACTGATATGAATCTGAACACAGAACACTGATGCCCTTTGAAAATTTAACAAGCTATTAAAAGTCAACTATGTCATATAGATTCAAGTGCCCAACCAAGCATTATATTTAAAAATCCATTTATCGTAAAATGGAATTAAGTTGTTGTTTTCCGTATGGAAGGTGCCTGGAAGGTAGTCAGCTCTTTCCAGGCACTCTGGTGCTCACGAGCCATTCACACACCATGACACGAAGCTCCAGCTCTGACATAACTGGTGGTCACTTTCTATTTGATAGCAGCTACCCTTCATTTGCATGCATTCTTCCAAAGCCACAGACTGTCTCTCTATCTACCACATTTTTCCTTTCAACAGCCTTCATAACCTCTTTCAGAAATAGGAATGGCAAGCAGCCTATAAGAGGAGCTTTCTGCACAAAAACAGCCCTTCGTGCTACACCAACCTTTGTGAAAAGACCCTTTGAAATTGTCCAACTGACAGCAGGTTTCCATGCTAAGCATTAACATATTGAACATTCACTAGAAAAAACACTTTCTGCTTGTATTTGACAGTTACGAACTCAAATGAACTGGCTGTAGCAATGACTTTATATCCTCACTGAGTAGAGGTTATTTACATGATAGACTGGGCTTCATGAAGTGTTAGGAGTTTTCCTTTGTTCAACAAAGCTGCCACATCCTGAAGTCCAAGCAAACCTTAAAGAACTTACTTTTTTTAATTATTATTATTTGAGTGATATGACAAAATTTCCTCAAGAAATCATTAACCCTTAAGTATTTATAATGTTCAGTGACAGCAGACATGGGAACACAGTGCTAAGCTGAAGAACTCACGTTATTTGGGAACAAGAAAAATAATTTAATTAGAAAAGAGTGACACAACTACCAGGTGCCTTTTTTATGTGAAAGGCTAAGTTTTTAAAAATCAATAGCAGACTTCAGTCATTATTAGTAAAGTATCTCAAAATAGCCAATACACACAAGGTATATGTTAAAAACCCGCAACAAACACCAAAACCAGAACACAGCAAAATCAAGAAGCCAAATACCAGCGTTTAAGTAGACTTATGTTTAAGTAGACTTGCAGATAACTCAAACAGCCTCTATCTGCTGTTCACTTAAATAATAAAGTAATCAAAAAAGTATCTATTTCTATGCCAAGAAAGCATTTAACTGCAAACTCATCAGTTACCAGAAAAATTATACTGAAAGAAAAATAGATTCCCACTAATTTATTAACAAGCAAAAACTTTATTATTGAGTATTTGTATTCCGACTTTAAGAATAAAAGTCAGAATACAATTAAGGTTTTGTTTTTTGGGGTTTTTTTTTTGTTTGTTTGTTTTTAGAATAAGAGCAGAGAAGCACTGCACAGGCTGCCCAGAAGCGGTGGGTGCCCCATCCCTGCAGACACGCAAGGTCAGGCTGGAGGGGCTCTGAGCCCTGATGGAGCTGTGGTGTCCGTGTTCATTGCAGGAGAGTTACACCAGATGGCCTTTAGTGGTTCCTTCCAATTCAAACGATTCTATGATTTCCAAATTGCTGATCCATATTGAAGTGCTGGCTACTAAAATGCTGCAGTGATTCACCACAGCAGTCAGTGCTGTCCTGTTTGTGGCCTAGCCAACCTTTCCTAGCACATGTATAAATACAGTTAACAACCTCAGTCAGGAATTCAAAGTTTGTAGTAAGTGTATTGTCACGTTACTTAGACGAGTATTTTTGAAACATTACTGCATTCAGTTACAAGATATCCCTCAGGGAGAATCAAACTAGAAGAAAAGTGAGAACTGTAATATATTCAGTGACAAACCGTGTAAGGAAGAACTTCTTCACTGTCAGTGATGGAGCAGTAGAACAAGCTGCCCAGAGAGGTTGTAGAGCCTCCTTCTCTGGAGATATTCAAGACCCACCTGGAGGCATTCCTACGTGAGCTGCTGTAGGGAACTTGCTTTAGCAGGATTGGATTCAGCCATCTCTAGATCCCTTCCAACTCCCACAACTCTGTGATTTTTGTGTGTGCATTGTGTAAGGCGTGGGGTATGCTATCCAACAGGCGCAAATACAGCTTGCAGCTCAAAACACACATCTACCTTCAATCATTTTACAAACGTTAAAAAAAACCACCTAGGCTTAGCAGGACTCAGGTCCGTAATGGAAGTTGTAGCATTTCATGCCTTCTATCCTATGTAAAACTGGAAGAGAACAGTACATTTCAGACTCAAAGGTATTGCTACATGAAGCAGCTTGCATTGAGAGCACTGAATATTTAGACTAGGAAAGGAAAGTCTTCATTTTGAAGTTGAGTCAAAGTATACTGAAAAGGCTTACCATACAAGCTTCTCTGGCTTGATGAACTGATGGGTCTTTTTCTAGGATTGCTTTATAATCTTCCAGAGCTTCATCTAGTTTTTCTGTTTTTTCATATAGTTCTGCTCTTCTCAGCAAAGCTCTAATATAGTTAGGATCTAATTCCACTGCTGGAAAACAAAAATGAAGCACAGCATTTTACTTGAAACATTCCTACAGCTCCTACAAATAATTCTTAAGTGTGTATTAATTTTTTAATATTAATAGTTATTTTTAGGACTAAAAGTTAGGACTAAATCCTAAACTTACAATTCACAGGCTGCTGTTGATTTCTCAAGAATTTATTCACCCATTTTTTTATCACAGTAAAAGCAAGTACAAAATCCTGCCTAAATTTTTAATTGCCAACCCATTAAAATTATTTTCAGGATAACTAAAACTCAGATTAGGCAAGTGTTCTATAGCTTATTCCTTCTGGAACGACAAAGACAATACTACAGTCAGCATGTTGCAGAGTGAATTGCTCTGCTGTGCTGTAGGTGTTGCATTGCAGTTTGTAAGCCAAGTCCCTGGGGAGCATCAGGCGATGGTTGGTTTAAGTCTCACTGCAGCAAAACATAGCAGTCCTCTCTAAGCCACCACAAAATTATCAGAAATGTTTTTGAAAATGCACCGCTGCCAAAACGCAAAACCCCAGAGTAAGAGAGGTCAGCTAGAATTTGTTACCTTCAAGGTTACTTTTAAAACATACAAACTCCTATTTACTGTACAAGCAGTACTGGCACTCAGCCACTGGATTAGTTTTCTGACTGGTAATTCGGACATTCTTCCCCAGCTATCATGGGGAGTTTAACAAATATTCGAGCACGGGTGAGTGGGTGGAAGCAATAAAGCAACACACAGCTGAAACGATTTCACTAGAAGTTGCAGAGATAAAACTATGCAGGACAAAAATGGGAAAGCATAAGCCCTTGTGACAAAGCAAAAGCCATGCATAAAAGGGAACTGATAATGCTTTTAATTCTATGAGGCCCCACAGCTCTTTGGAGCCTGGGATTAAACCAAGGTTTGAGGGGAATGGCAGGTGGAAGTGGGTTTATAAAAGTAAGTATAACAGCTTCCACAATAAAAAATGCTTTCTTATTAAAAAAAAAAAAAAAAAAAAAAAGTACAAACAACAGTCTTGTTGGCATAAAAGAATATAAAGTAAATTATTACAGATAGTAAGTTTCATTCACATTTCACAAAGTAAGTAATTCTAGATTGAGATGCTTTCCACTACAGTTTTTCTCTAAATTACTTCAAGACTGTTGTGCCCAAAGTCATAGCACTGTTGTAAAGCACTAATTGGTGTCATTTACTCATCAAAAATCTAGCACAAGAGCAAAACACAGGAAAGACAAAGTCATACCTTTGCTGCAGTCATTTAGGGCAGCTTCTGTCTTGTCCTAGAACACAGAATAGTTTTGTTACAGTTAAACTGTATCTCTTGGGAAACAGATTACTTACAATTGCAAGCAAGAAGGGTTGTCTGGAATTCCAAGGAACTGGGATGTTCATGTAATCAAGGCTTTTCATACCATTGCTTCTGATTTAAAGCTCTTTACCAGTGATTAGCTTTCTCTCTGCAAAGACTGCCAGCCTTCCAATTGCACGCTGCCCCACTAATCAGTCTGCACAGAGCAGCCAGCAGCAAGCTACAGTCAAAAGGCTGAGTCACATCTGCAGGCCTTAGCTTAACTGAGCTACAGCTTTTGTACGTATGTCAATTAAGTAAGTGGTTGGAACTGACTGTTCCCAGACTCCCAGATAAATTCCTGTCTGTACAAGCTGAGACATTTGGAAAGCAGATATTCCTTTAGGACTCATATAACTTCCTGTACCAGGGAAAATGCTTGAGTCTGCCAGAAGCAGTAGGGACAAGATTTTAGTGTGCCCAGACAGCCAAGTTAGGAGAGGAGAGTCAAGCAATCTGCTTATAATGGAGAAAAAGAAAAAAAGGAAGAAGACTGAGACAAAGAACCTATTTTCATCTAAACTGAAAGGCCTTCAAGAAAACAAGGCTGCTCATTGCTATTTTCAGAGTAAAGTATTGGTGTGGGAGGTTCCACTCATCTGGACAGGTGAGGTTTTTAGTCTGTGGATAGTTCTTTCATCATCTTGTGATTGTTTGGGAATTATTAGATTAGTTTTCTAGTTAACACCTGGATTATGAGGATGTTTTTCAGTTTACAGCTTTTGTATTTGAAAGATTCCAGCACCTGCTACTACTGAATTCCATTTTTAACTTGTCTGGCCAAATAATTTAGTATCCCAAAAGCAAGTTAGATAATTCTGTCTGAGCAATGATTTATTTATACTTAAATATGGCTGCAAGGTACATTCCCAAACAGAGCTCCATCTGCCTCAAAATTAAAGAGAACTGCAAGACAGTTAACTTTACAAGAGGACAAAAAGATTATAGGAGTTACTATTCTACTTTTCCAGAACCATTCAATCTTAAAACAAAAGTAGGGAGTAATTTCTCTTGAATTTTCACTTCCACTTATTTAGAAAGAAGAGGTAATTTAGCATGTTTATAGCCTGAAGAGACCTACTTCTTTAAGTACAATAATAACCATTATAGAAAAGCCATACAAATATCTCAGACAACTAAATTTAGACGCTGAACAGTCCTGTGAGCCAGAAAAGTGTTACCAAATACTTGCTGATAGGTCCTTCTAGCTCCCTTTGCAGTCCCATGCAGTAGCATGTCCACAGACTGTATTAACTCAAACTGGCATAATGGTTCTCCTCCCATTCTTCCAATTGTACAGCAGTCCAACAGCTTGTTTATAAAGATGAAATCTTCACTTACATGAAGAACCTCTAACTGTTATTCTTTAAAATCAATTATCAGCTTACAAAGTAAATTGTTTAGTTTCTGTTCAGACAGAGTGGGTCCTAGGGCTTCTATTCTGCCTACAGTGAATACAGATTCCGGGAACAAGTGGGCACCTGTCCCTGGGTAAGGAATAGAAAAGACGTGAAGAAAGCTGCAGCCATTCTCTTCAGACACTGCCCTGCTACGTAGATCTATGCTATAATACAGCAACTATGAAGGAAGCACACACACACTGAATTAGTTGTTAGAAGTTCTGCTTATGCCTTAAAGCATCTGAACAAATTATTTTACAAGACTACTCAGGTTTTTAGAAAAGATACTAACTAGCCACGCTTCTGAACAATCTAACACATGGTCTGTATATGCTAAGCATGCTTAAAGACATCTGTTCCACATGAACTTTGAATTTGTTTAAAGGAGAATAAAAACCAATCAGTGTTTAAAATATAATGTCAAGAGAAACTCTGAACAGTTCCAACTGCAACTTTCAGTTTTGAATTAACCCTCAGTAAAACCAAACATGCTAGCATTCCTACTGGGAGCTTGAGAGAATACACAAGCAGCAAAGCCTGCAAATGCAGCAATTCCTTTCCCTTGTTACAGATCCTTAGTGACTTCATAATTTCACGTGGCATACAATCAATACTAATCATTTCATAAAACAAAAAAGATATTCACCTGTTTCATTTTTGCAGCAGCTCTGTTTGAAAACAAAACAGCCCTATCTTTTTGGAAGCAGGCTGGACAAATTTGCAGAGCCTTTGTGTAAGAGTCTTCTGCCTCTCCGTACTCTGTAGATGCAAGAGGGGAAAAAAAATAACAAGAAAGCAACAGATCATTTATTTCAAATGCCAGTATGGTCAACGAATTACATGACTATGATTTCTTTGGAAACATTTCTCAATATGTGATGCAATACTAAACCAGTGGTCAGAAGCAGTAGCTGCTCTATGACAAAGTACATGACTGACTACCATCCACATAAATGACAATCAATTAATTTAAAATCAGCAGCCTCATGGGAGCAGAAAAATAGACTTGTGCTTAGTATAATGAGTACAGCATGCTGTGCATGCAGGTCTCACCCCTGAAGCTGTTTTGTCCTATTTGTTGAGAGGGTATCATCAGCCTCAGAGGTTGAATCTTTCCAGAAATGTATTCTTGCCCTGAAAGGAACACCTGCTGGACATGGTGTTCTGCCAGTAACTGCTCTCAGCTGCTTGGGAGATAACTGCCCCAACTTCCTCAATGACTGACTTACAGGTCCGTCACCATAAACCACTGACACCCAATGGTCATCCATCATCAAATCTGGTCTAAAGGAAAGACCAGTGATTAAGCACATTTTATTTCTTTCCAATAATGGTAGAAAGAAGTAATGGAAAGGTCTTGTATTGACTGTGAGCAACAGCCTACTAGCTGATAAATGCATTCTCCTCAAAGCAGAGCAATCGTTTCTGTCCACATTAACCAGTGATCAACCAGGTGCTTAAAAGTTTATTTCTGATCAGTAAGCAATTTGACAGCCATCAGCAGCACAAGCACACTGAACAGATCCAACAAAGAATCTGTCAAGAGACAGCTATGGATAAGATCTCACAAGAAAGCTGAGCCAATATTACAGGCTTGCTACTTCCATGGTTCCACCAGCCCCCTTCTGCCTGCTCTGGCACTTGCCTGAATTGGTAAACCATTACCCAGCAATCTTGCTTTCTCAACACACAATAAAAGACCTCCAACAGGAAGACCACTATCTGATCATAGGAGTATACCCTGGGAAATGGAGGTTACCTGTTTGTGTCCCCACTGACTGACAGAACCATTAATCTCCATTTCCTGGTTTCTTTGTGAAACCTCTAACCTTCAGAATGAAAGGTGGGTGTCAAAAATCATTTTCCCCTTCATACATTTTACCAAATATTGCTGGTGGTATTACTTACTGCTCGCCTCAACTCTGCTGCTACAGATTAACTATGTTCACAAACATCCAGTTTCAGTGTAAGTCAGAAATTTACACACACCTAGATCTTTTTCACTATAGAGGTCTCTATGTGCATGCATGGTTGTGTACAGCTACATAAAAGTGCGTATCTCTGTGCATACACAAAAACAGAAGTGTGTATATGCATATATAGAGAGATGCACATCGATGTACACAATGCATGTATAAATAAGTATAAAAATGCCTACACAATTACAGCACATACATGAAGGACTGAGCCAGTGGATAAAAAGACACATACAAACATACAAAGCTATGAGAGAATTACTGAGCCACTGAGCCATCATCAATTCTAAGCAATTGCATTAGCAATACTCAGGACTGGTGGAAGCCTTTTTTGATTCTCAGAAAAAGCCTTGGCACTCGGAAGGCAGTCAGTTTTGTATCGTGTTCTTGGATTTAAACTCAACATTCATGACAATCCTGCTCTAGAGATCCAAGTCTTTGTGATTTGAACTTAACTCTTAAGGAAGCCTGCTATCTCTTTCTGTTCTCTAGGGCTGGGTGAAGAAACGATAAAGATGATAAAGCTGAAAAATAATAAATGCAAGATTTTCCTACGAGTTTCCTGCAATATCACTATGATGGCTAAATATTAATCTAACATTCACCAATTTCCATACAATATTCAAAGATTATCAACGCACCTCCTTTCTTGAACTGTTCATTTCCTTTCTCCTTTAGCGTTGTGCTTTCCTTTCTTCTTTTCTACAAAAGAAGAGACGTCTCAAAGTATTTAACTGAAATGAACAAGTAGGTCAGCTGTATTTCCAAATAAACTATGAATGAAAATCAAAATAAAACACAATCTGAAGAATTTTAGCTAGTGCCAAGATCCCTTGCTTACATCTACTGTGAGATGATAGACTTCATAATCCATAAAACACTGCAGTACATCAGCAAGGCAGTCAGAAAGCCCCAGTTTGTGAACATTATGCACCAAGACCACTCATAATGAATTATACGGTTTAAACTAGCATGTTAGTCTCTTAGCTGTTTGCTTGCTTCTTAATTCCTTACCCATTCAACTGGTGTAGCTCTACATCTAAAATGCATTCTATATAGTCAAGTCTCAAAAGTTTTGTTTGAAATAATTCCACCTCAGAAATCCATAGTTACTTTCAGAAACATGCAAAGCATTTTCAGCTCACTGAATTAGAAACAGGTCTGTGCATAATACCTCTCTGAAAGATTTCTTATGCAGAGTGAATAAACCATCAGACCCTGAGACAGGAAGATTGTTCTGTTATACAGAGAAAATTGCACACGCTGAGCTGAGTTGCGTTCTCATCCATGAATATCTTAACAGTACTCTTGGCACAGGCAGAGTTGACATGAATGTTCTTAGCCTCTGACACTGAAAACACAGGATGTCATCAAGCCATCTCTGAAATGTATTTACAAAGGCAGGCTTCCACACGCAGGCATACCTCACAGAAGTAAAGACAAAAGGCTTGTAAGAAAGACAATGCTAACAAGTGCAATGCTCACATTTGTGAATCACTTCCATAGCAAAAAAAGAACAAAGACAATTTGGTCCCCGATTTGCCCCTAACATGCAGGCACAAGGGACTCAAATCAAGGCGTTCAGAAATTACAGATCACTGAGCAATTAAAAAGCCAACGCCAGGAAAGGAACAGTTTCCCACAGATTGTGTAAATCAAGGATTAATGCAATTATCAATATCGCACAGAACATCTCCTTGGAAACAGCTAAATATAGTACTCTGTGGAGCACTGCACCATCTCACAGCTATGCCAAGTAACTGACAAACAATGCAAAATCAGAGGTTCTCTCCTCTCACCCTTATTGCTTTTGGATGATCATTCACCAACCACTGTTACCATGTCAGTAAAACAGGTCACAGTGCTCTGAGGGAAATGCCACTCAGCGGTCGCACACAAAACCACCCAGCAAAGTCTCACCTGAGCCCATGGGTACACAATTACACCAGTAACATTTTTCCTATTGCCTATTAAAAACAATGTCTCAGACTGATTGATCTTCACATTGAAAAAAAAAAAAAAAAAAAAGCGGATGAGATGTATATCACTATTTAGAAATCAGCTTTCCTTCAGGGTTCTCTGCCGAACCTACACAAGTCCTTCTGCAATGTCATTAGCACCAAGGTAAACGAGCCAGTGAGTGCCTTTTAAATATGAGTGTAGGAACAAATTTGAGAGATTAAGGCACAATCAGCATTAAAAGCATGCATTCTTTGTGTACACGTGGGATTCTACAATTCAGCCCAAGGAACACATAGCCACATTTGAAAGCTGCACCCTGACTTTGGAAGCACTCATCACAGCTGCTCACACAGCAGCTCCACAATAATACATTTTAAAATCACCTTATAGATGTCATTTGCACAGTAGTGAACCAAGAAGTATCATCAAATCACCAAGGTTGGAAGAGACCTCCAAGAACAAGTAGCCAAATTTCTGCACAGAATTGGCTTAGGTTTAGAAAAGATGATCTTACTGGGAAAGATAAAAGATCTACATGAATAAACCTTATCCAAGATAAGAAATACTTGAAACACAAGCCCTGTTGACTTCATTGCTGGTGACCTATTTAGAACTGGCCTTTAAGTGCTATTAACTGATTCAATGTTGCAAAAGATAGACTTGTGTGCAATGTAACAAAAAATTCTCCCCCCATAAAACGGTTGTGGTATTCCTGATGCAGAAACCGTAAAAAAGAAGGAATATCAGATGAAAATCTTTACTCGCATTAGCACTTTATTAAAAGTATTACAAAAGAGTATATGCTTATCCCAGTCAAGTATCAAAAACTAATATAAAAATTTACTCAAAGCGAGAAAACTTCAAGAGAATAACCTTTATAATCTTTACAAAAAGAAAAGGAAAAAATTTCTATCACTAAATTTTTGAACTATGGGCTCCCTTGTTACTTAGCAAAGAGGACTGCGAGCTGGTTTCAACAGCAAAGAGGACTGAGGTGTCTGTACAACCCACATTTGCTGGGGAAACGTGGTCAGACAAAAGTTCTGAGCAGCTGAGGAGCTAAGGGCTGTTACACTGCAATGAGATCGATGAGATCGTTCACACAGCTCTCCTCTGAAAGCCTGTTCTTCAACATGTCCTCTTGGTCACTCACAATCTTGAAGGAATGAGGAAGACTATTACTCACCCTGCTGTTCCAGCCATATGAGTGTCAGTGAGAGACTTGCAGTGACTTCAGACTATTTGACCAGAAAAAGTGTTGTGTAAGCATGTTTCAAAAGCATTGGTAAGAATACCTTATATGGCCCTGTAGCTTACTCAGCTCCCTGGAAAGCAGCTATAAAAGCAACGCAATTCTGGTTCAAAACCAGGATTTCTGTTACAGCTTCACCAATGTTTTCATATCCCCATGTTCACAGGTTTCAGGCTGTCACTTAACTGCACTTTTCAGAAAGGCAAGACTCAGGGATACCTCGTGCATCGTTCTGTATTTGCATTCAAAGCGTGACCTGTTGGTGATGCATGATAGCAGATTATCATCCCCTACAAGTAAATCCCTCTGGCTTTCTCACAAAATGCTAATGCATACATGTCAGTACATCCCATCCTAAATGCACTAACGTCTGCTACGGATATTCTACGGAAAACGGATATTCTCTATTTGTGAAATAAACACAATTTGTTCCTGCACATACATGCATTTCTGCAATAGAAAGTCCTAATACCAAAGCAGCAGAAAGACAACTCTTCTGAATTAACACCAACTTAATCTGAAAGGCCTGCTGTACCATGCACTGCTCTGATACTGTTAGAATCTTCTGCACAAACTTAGGTTTAAAAAAGGACTATTAGAAGACAAAAGCTCTTCACTCAGCAAGTTGAATTTCCAGCTTCAATGGACTGGTCATCAGTTAATGGCAATCACATCAGACCAGAGATCAAAAATTGCAAGTGACTTGTCCTTGGGACAAATTTTGCACTATGTCATTTCAGTGTCCCCACCCACTCAGTTTTCAGAGCAAGATTGAAGTTGCTACAGGGCTGGCTACCCCTCCTCAGCGAAGGAAGTAGGTCAGCCCAAACTCCTGGAATGCTTTGCCTAGAGAGGAAATATCCTGACCCACCATGCACCCTAAGGCTGCTCACATGAGAGGGTAGGGTAAAGTCACAACTTCCCAACTTACATTCTCTTATGATCTCCTGATAGTCAAAATAGATGAAAATCTGCCATTTGTTTTCTTGCAAGATTTCTTAATAAGATGATCACAAATTCCAAGCAGCAAGCATCAGTTTTTTATATACACAGAAGAAAAAAAAAAAAAAAAACCAACAAAACAACTGGGGGAAATAACTGCAATTAACTAGAAATATTATTCTTAAAGGATCTGATTTGGATACTGAATTAGAATTGTCCACATTTGAAGAAATTAAGATCTTAACACTTGCCTGGCACGTAAGAGGTGCTGAGAATGAAGGCCTGATGTGAAGTAACAAGACAAGACAGCTTGGCCTTCTGACAATGAAGTACAATTCAAAAGAAAAACCATCAGATACAGTCCTTGGACCTCAGCTACTCCACCAAGAAGCTTGCAGTTAAAAATAAAATCATTAAAGTTTTATTCTAGTACTAGAGAAGGCAGCAACCTACACATTTTTTGCTGTTTATTTTGGAAGGAACCAATATAATAGAAGTGTTGGAAGCGGAATCCCTAAATATTGCTGTGAGAGCTGGAGGCTGAATACCTTCCTTTTGTAATGCTTCCAACCACGTTTCCTTTGGCTGCTCCTATGCATTTTATTTGATCAATTGATTTAACTTTGCAAGGGAACTGTTCTTGGCTCCAGTTTTGTGAAGAGCAGCAAATATACTTCCTTCACTGCACGGCTATTTATACAGTGTGACAGAGCACATCTGCATCTCATATACCCTTCTGTAAGGTCACCCAGTAGCAGTCATTTAAAATCACCAGGATTCGAAGGGTGCACAAAAGCAAGCAATTTGAACAGATAAGGAACACACTTCTGAGCTTCAAATACCAATTCTGTTTGTAAGCCATCTGTGGTTAGTCATCTGCTTCCCCCTGCAGTTTTGTGAAGCTGTTGCTGTACCACACGTTCAAGGATCTGAACTTTGCTTTATGGTTGTATGGTACTCACTGTAACTTCATGCTAAAGATGGATTTAGTCTTTCTGCTGCCAGTCACTACCTTTTCCTGAAATTGTAAGCAGCACTTCCACAAACAATAGGTCACATCCATCCCAAGCAGTCAGTTTAAGTTAGCATGCCAGACTGAAAGCAGTGACTACCCGAGTGACAATACACGCCACCCAGTCACTTCTGCTCAAGGAGGCAAAAGCCTCGGGCAGAAAAGTGGAGCTGACCACTTAATCCATCAGCACACAAGTCAAAATATTTAGTCACATACAAGCCTATCGCTTCTGTAAACCAAAGGTCTGAGTTTGACAGTATCTGCATCTTCCAGAAAAATGCAAATCTAACATAAGCATAAAAACAGCAACACTGCAAGAAAAACGAAGGTATAATTTTTCACTCTACGAAATTGCCATCCAGCAATTAAGTCTATAAATGCAGCTGGGACTATAAATCACACATGGAGACTCTAACTCCAGACATCATACAGGTTCTTTTCACCAGCACTTAGAATTAATTACTGCAGCAGATACCGATACACTTTTCAGATGTGCTTTGATTAACTCAGAAAATAAAACAGGATATTTTG